TTCTTTCTTTCTTTCTTTCTTTCTTTCTTTCTTTCTTTCTTTCTTTCTTTCTTTCTTTCTTTCTTTCTTTCTTCTTTTTCCAGTCTGAAGCTTTTATTTCAAATGCTTATTTTATTCCAACTAAGTATTTTATGTAAACTTTAAAATGTTAAACACAAAATAAAGTTGATTTACATTTGGATTTTTATCATGCTTAACAGGTACTTCACAAACTTGAAATTTAATATTTTTGGTGTTTTTGTTTGTGTGCTTGATTGCTTGTTTGGTTTCTTTGGGATAAAGTGTTATTTTGAAAGCAAAAGGCTGGGAAAACACTACCCCTGGCTGGCTTTGAACAAGTGATCCTCATGCCTCAGCCACCAAAGTGATGGACTCACAGGCATGCAGCACCATGTCCAGTTTAAACTTCACACATTTAAGGATTCCTGGACTCTAGCATTAAATAACATTATAATGTTATTTTAATGGGATGTACAGCAGATTGGAGGTACTTTGACTCTGCTGACATTTAGAGGTCACTTTAACACTCAGTTAACACGTAAGTATAACTGAAAGGACAAAGAGAAGGACTGCCACTCAGAGAGGCAGAGACTGAAGGCAGTTAGTCATGATGTATTGGGGAAGCATTGTAGGGGACTACACCATAAGCTCCAATTTCTGCCTCCTTACTTTTGAGTCAACTCATCACCTTAAAATTAAAATTCCAGTGTCAGAAAAAACTCAAATATATTAAAAGGAACAAGCCAGGGACACAGAGACATGTGCATATGATCTTAAGTAAAGGTCAAATCGAGCTTACAGAATTTGGATATGGGATTGTGTTTAACCAAGTAGAGAGAACAGGGACTGAAAGGAAGGCTACTCCGCAGGCACAAGGTGGGAGTTAGTGCAGTTGCAGGTAACAATATAAACTTTGCATTACTGAAGCTAGAAGAACTATTCTAATTTCTTTGTGGCAGATTTTGTCTCTAGCCCTGGCTGGCCCAGAACTCACTGTCTAGAGCAGGCTTGCCTCAAAGTCGAGATTTGCCTGCCTCTTTTTGTTGAGTACAAGGATTATGGTGTGTGCCATCATGCTTGGCTATTTTAAGTGTTTTTACCATAACGAAATGAAAAAGTCTGAGGAGCTACATATGCCTAATCGAACTGAAACAGTACTGTGCTCAGTATACACGTTTATATACATGACACTACTTCTTTTACATATATATATATATAATATATATTATATTATATTTTTCTGTACTAATTAAGACATATCAAATAGAAACAAAACCACATTTGCAGCCCTGTATTTTTCCAAAGGTTTCATTCGTTGTTGACCAGGACCTAGGGAAGAGCAGGACAGAGGGGCCTCCTTGCCTGGGTGCTCTGCGTTGGAATCTGCAGTAGTAAGGCCAAGCTGCTGTAGTCGAAGTTCTCGTCCAGGGCTATAAGCGAGCCGTGCACTCCACTCTCGAGGATGTTATTTGCGTATTCTCGAAGTCCAATCGCCTGTATCCAGCGAATAACTCTATCATTGCTCCACACTAAAACGTCTAGGGAAAAGAAGATGGATTCTAGCTGAAACGGGCCACAGGCTTCTGGCCAAATCACGGTTATGCTGATCTCCCTGCTCCTTAGAGCTCCTGGATCCTTTCTCTTACATGAACAGGCTGTTCTAATCCTCAGCCTCCCTGAAATCAATCTTGCTATTAGTTGGCACTTTTAGAACGCTTATTATTACTGAAAAGATAGCGTTCCTATCATGCTGGACACTCTGAACGTTGCTTGCTAGTTTTAAATCGGAACCTTGGGATCTAGCTGAAGTTGAGATTTTTGCCACCAGATGGGGATAACTCTCCTTCCGTCCCCCTCCTCTCTAGCCATCCTTCCTCCTTCCTTTCTTTTTCCTTCCTCTCTCTCCCTCCTTCCCTCACTCCATCCTATAGCCTGTCCTTCTCCTTTCCCCTCAGTATTATGCTTCTAAAGCTGATTTTCATTTGAAATGGTTTTTAACTACTACTTCAGTATTACATATGATTAGATGCCTGTTTTCCTCCTGAAATTGCACAGAAAACAGAACAGCAGCATAATACAGAAAGTACATTGACATTTCGGTATTGTTAAGCCATTTTTCCCCCAACAATTTACGAGTGAAAAACTGAAATATACATTGACACAGGTTGATTTTTCTTTACTTAAAAGGAGTTTTCATGAAGTACAAAATATTTAAACATTTACTTCCTAAACATAAAACCTTCAGAAATTAAAAAGGCCATCTGTGCCTGTTAAAGGCAAAACCTGGAAAAACATTATTTTCATTGATTCTATCATATCTTTTCATTCTGAATCAGCAGGATGATGCATACAGACTATATAATCATATGTAGACCATAATGCTCAGTACAAAGAAAAATTAAAGAATTAAAAATTAAGAAAAAGTAAAAGACATTCTCTACTTGAAAAAAGATCTGAGTGTTTCCTAGTGCCAAACTGAAATCCGCATTTCTGTAAATAGTTTTCTTTCTCAGTAAAATTTATATTAAATATATGTATATATATAGTTAATGTTTTGAAAAACTTTTACTAACAAGTTTTATTTCAGTTACGTGTTCTCATCATGTGCTTCCTCATGCATAACATTTAAACAAAATGATACCAGTGTCTCACACAGGAGCATTACCCTCAGCCACGGGTCTCTCTCTACAGTAATGGTAGCACTGATTTATGCTTATATATAAATATATATCCATTATGTATATATACGCATATATATATATCCATTACTTCTAATGTTTTCATATAATGGTGTGTTCTCTAGATACACTACGTCAATTTTATTTTTTAATTCTGTTTGAATACGTTAGTTAGAATATCTCTATTTCATATTATTACTCAGATATTTCAGTTTAAACCTACCATCATTATAATTGTCTTAGCTTTCAGTTTTTCTTTACCTTTTTATTACACATTTTAAAAATTTTATGCTAACTCCTTATTACAGTTCTAGTTTATATTATTCTGCCATAAGTCACAATAAAACTTGACTTACTCAAATTATCACTATTTGCAGATGATATGATAGTATACATGAGTGACCCCCAAAACTCTACCAGGGAACTCCTACAGCTGATAAACACCTTCAGCAAAGTGGCCGGATACAAAATTAACTCAAAAAAATCAGTAGCACTCCTGTATACAAAAGACAAAAGGGCTGAGAAAGAAATTAGAGAAACAACACCATTCACAATAGCCACAAATGACATAAAGTACCTTGGTGTAACCCTAACCAAGCAAGTCAAAGACTTGTATGAAAAAAAATTCAAGTCTCTGAAGAAAGAATTAGAGGAAGATATGAGAAGATGGAAAGATCTCCCATGCTCATGGCTTGGCAGGATTAACATAGTAAAAATGGCCATCTTACCAAAAGCAATCTACAGATTTAATGCAATTCCCATCAAATTGCCAACACGATTCTTTACAGACTTGGAAAGAAAAATTCTCAACTTTGTATGGAATAACAAGAAAGTGAGAATTGTTAAAACAATCCTCTACAATAAAAGATCTTCTGGAGGTATCTCCATCCTTGATCGCAAGCTGTACTATAGAGCAACAGTTATAAAAACTGCATGGTACTGGCATAGAAACAGAATGGTGGATCAATGGAATCGAACAGAAGACCTAGAAATAAACCCACACACTTACGGACACCTGATTTTTGACAAAGATGCCAAAACCATACAATGGAAAAAAGATAGCATCTTCAACAAATGGTGCTGGTCCAACTGGATGTCTACATGTAGAAAAATGAAAATAGATCCATACTTATCACCCTGCACAAAACTGAAGTCCAAGTGGATCAAAGACCTCAACATAAAACCAGACACATTAAATTGGCTAGAAAAAAAGTGGGGAATACCCTAGAACTCATTGGTACAGGAGAAAACTTCCTGAACAGAACACCAACAGCACAGGCTCTAAGAGCAACAATCAATAAATGAGACTTCATGAAATTGAAAAGCTTCTGTAAAGCAAAGGACACCGTCATCAAAACAAAGCGACTGCCTACAGATTGGGAAAGAATCATCACCAACCCTTTATCTGACAGAGGACTTATATCCAGTATATATAAAGAACTAAAGAAGCTGAAAAGCAGCAAACCAAGTAATCCACTTAAAAAATGGGGAACAGAGCTAAACAGAGAATTCTCTGTAGAGGAATATCGAATGGCAGAGAAGCACTTACAGAAATGCTCAACCTCATTAGCCATTAGGGAAATGCAAATCAAAACAACCCTGAGATTTCACCTTACACCCATCAGAATGGCCAAGATGAAAAACTCAAGGGACAACACATGCTGGAGAGGTTGTGGAGAAAGGGGAACCCTTCTCCACTGCTGGTGGGAATGTAAACTGGTACAACCACTCTGGAAATCAATCTGGTGCTTTCTCAGACAACTAGGAATAGTGCTTCCTCAAGTTCCAGCCCTACCACTCCTAGGCATATACCCAAAAGAGGCTCAAGTACACAAAAAGGACATTTGCTCAACCATGTTTGTAGCAGCTTTATTTGTAATAGCCAGAAGCTGGAAACAACCCAGATGCCCCTCAACTGAAGAATGGATGCAGAAACTGTGGTACATCTATACAATGGAGTATTACTCAGCAATGAAAAATAAGGAAATCATGAAATTTGCAGGTAAATGGTGGGACCTGGAAAGGATCATCCTGAGTGAGTTGTCCCAGAAGCAAAAAGACATGCATGGTATATACTCACTCATATAAACATACAATATAGAATAAACCCACTAAAATCTGTATATCTAAACAAACTAAGCAAAAGAGAGGACCCTAACTAAAATGTTCAATCCCCATCTTGAAAGGTAAAGAGGATGGACATCAGAAGAAAAAGAAAATAGGAAACAACCTTGGAACCTGCCACAGAGGGCCTCTGAAAGCTTCTGCAGTATAGACTGTCAAAGAAGATGCTGAGCCTGATGGCCAACTGATGGGCAGAGTGAATGGAATTCTATATAAGAAGTGGGAAATAGTAAGAGCTGGAGGGGACGGGAACTCCACAAGGAGAGCAACAGAACAAGATAATTTGAACACAGGGAACTTCCCAGAAAATTATACTCCAACCAAGGACTATGTGTGGAGATGACCTGGAACCCCTGCACAGGTGTAGCCCATGGCAGTTCAGTGTCCAAGTGGGTTATATAGTAATGGGAAGAGGGACTGCCTCTGACATAATCTGATTGGTCTCCTCGTTGATCACTTCCCCCTGAGGTGGGAGCAGCCTTATCAGGCCACAGTAGAGGACAATGCAGCCACTTTTGATGAGAACTGATAGACTAAGATCAGAAAGGAGAGGAGAACCTCCCCTATCAGTGGACTTGGGGAGTGGCATGCATGCAGAAAGGGGAGAGAGGGTGGGATCAGGAGGGGAGGAGGGAGGGGCTTATGGGGGGATACAAAATGAATAAAGTGTAATTAACAAAAAATTAAAAAAAACCTCACAAATAAAAAAAAACTTGACTTACTAAGAATGTAAATATCTTCTATATCTTGGCCGTTATATAGATAATTTACTTCAAATCTTTTAAATTCTTTTGCTCCACTACAGTAATTGAAGTGTTTCAGTTGTTGTTTGTTGTATCTCTGTGTATAATCTAAGCCCTCTAGTCATGATTGCCTGTGGGGATAATAATAATTTTCCCGATACACTCTTCAGATATGTATCCATGCTGCAACTTCTTTTATCTTCATAGTTTTTTTCTTCTAAGTTTGTGATTCTAATATTTATTCTCCACTTCAACTTCGAGATTCTGTTTTCTTAAAACTGTATTTACTCTGGCTTTAGTGTTAGGGAGCTTGAAGAATCCTAACTATGGATTACCTGCTCTGGATAAGTGTGAACATCCACCACTAGTTCACTTAATTTTACTAAATGCGTCAATTTTAGACTGATTTTCTTCAAAAAATGACAAGAAATGTCCAGTTTTCAGCCTCCCAATGTGTAGGTGTAAATGTGGACAAACACAGTTGTTCATGTTTGGTAATCTAAGACATACTAGCTCATTTCCGCAAATATATTTCATGCAAAATCTCCATCAGACATGTAGTTAAGACTATCAAGAAAATAACACATTTATGGCATTAAGACCAACTCTAATCATAAATTTTCTTATTCAGAACAGTCTCATGGCAATTATAATATTATAAATATCTTCCATAGCAAAATTATACCCTAGAATTTATGCGTAATAGGAATACTCTTGACCCAAACAACAAAAGGCTGGAGAGCAATGTCAACTGTTTCTTAGCAACGAATTAAAAGTTAGTACATTCTTGACACATTCCTCACATCAGAAACCTATTTTCTAAGGTCTAGGTTAATTGGCATTTCTGATAATGACAGAGAAGTCCATGCAGAATTGTGAACTGTTTCTCTAAATGCCCTCAGATCAATTGTCGGAAACAGGGGCTATTCATGATCCCGCTCACAGCCACTTATCCTATGTGGTTGTTTGTATGTAACACCGTGAATCAGTATGACTTTTTCTCAGGGCTCCCATCTAAGCAGCAACTGCCAAATAATAATAGAACATTTGCCACTGGGCAAAATGTGTAATTCTCCTGTTTTCACATTGATCTATTGTAAAAACTTTCCTGTAATGTGACCAAGCATAATGAAATCTAACTGGGAAAAATACTTCAGAAAGAACACTAAAAAGAGGGATCCCATAGACAAAATCTCCTTATTAAACAAAACATCTTTTGTTATGTCAAGCACACATTTCTTCCTAGGGTCTGTCCTTAGTCCATTAATTCTTGGATTTTAATTCATAATACACTTAAAACAACCTACCATTTCCTGGGGTCCAAAAAAAAAAAAAAAAAAAAAAACAATTAAAAAAAAAACTGTTTCAAACAGAGAAATACATTCTTGTTTCTTTGTAGCCATCTAAATGAAGTCTTAGAAGAATCAATAGTGTGTTTATCTATTCACTAATGAACAATGTATGGAAAAATACTTTCAAATATTCATCTTCATTAGCATTTAGGTTCTGCTTTCTAGAAGTAATAAATATAATGTTCAAATTTGCTAGAGATAAATTTTTTGAACTTGACAAAAATAAGTATAAGAAAACCTGAAACAGGTAATTTTAAATAAAAATACAGCAGTGTTAAACTTTAATATGGGAAGATGCCAATTTCTTATGTAAAAAGAAAAGATCCCAAGGGAAATTAAGATGAAAAGGGAGTTGTACCAACTTTGAGTGGTTAATGTAGCATAGACCCACTCAATATGATGAAATGCTTGTAAGTGTCAATTCATGGGTCATTGGAAATGGAAATGTAACTGATAAATACTTTCATATCTGTGCTGGATATTTTATGACAATAAAACTAAGTTCATCTCAGAGGATATAACCTCAATTTAAAAATGTCTCCATATTATCAAGTTGTAGACAGCCCTAGAAGGCATTTTCTTATTGATTGATGGGGGAGAGCTGGGCCCATTGTTGAGTCATACTATACCTGGACCAGTGGTCCTGGGTTCTATAAAAAAGCAGACTAAGCAAGACATGAAGAGTAAGTCAGTAAGCAGCACTCCTTCATGGTCTCTGCACCAGCTCCTATCTCCAGGTTCCTGTCCTGTTTGAGTACCTGTCCTGTTTTCCTTCGATATGAACATTGATATCAATATTCTAAGTCAAATAAGTGCTTTCCTATCCAACTTGGTTTTGGTCATGGTGTTTTGTCATAGCAATAGAAACCCTAACATAGAAAATATCTAAATCCAACCCTCCTCCTTGCTGGTGGGAATGTAAACTGGTACAACCACTTTGGAAGTCAATCTGGCGCTTTCTCAGACAATTAGGAATAGTGCTTCTTCAAGACCCAGCTATACCACTGCTAGATATATAACCAAAATTTGCTCAAGTACACAACAAGGACATTTGCTCAACCGTGTTTGCAGCAGCTTTATTTGTAATAGCCAGAACCTGGAAACAGACATCCAGACGTCCATCAACGAAGGAATGGATACAGAAATTGTGGTACTTTTACACAATGGAATACTACTCAGCAATCAAAAATGAGAAAATCATGAAATTTGCAGGCACATGGTGGGAACTAGAAAAGATCATTCTGAGTGAAGTATCCCAGAAGGAGAAAGACAAACATGGAATATACTCGCTTATATAGACCTAAAAGATATGATAAACCTAATGAAATCTATACACCTAAAGAAGATAATCAAGAAAGCGGACACAGGGTAAGATGATCAATCCTCACTTAGAAAGACAAATGGGATGTGCATTGAACGTATGACAGGAGTCTACCGCAGAAGGCATCTGAAAGACTCTACCTAGCAGTGTTTCAAAGCAGATATTAAGATTCATAACCAAACCTTCGGCAGAGTACAGGGAATCATATGAAAGAAGGGGAGTTAGTATGATGTGGAAAAGATAAGAGCTCCACAAGGACCAAATACATCTGGGCACAGGGTCTTTTCTGAGACTGACACTCAACCAAGGACCATGTATGGATATAACCCAGAACCTCTGCTCGGATGTAGCCCGTGGTAGCTCAGTAACCAATTAGTTTCCCAAAGTAAGGGGAACAAGGACTATTTCTGACAGGAAATCAATGGCAGGCTCTTTGACCTCCTGACCCCTAAGGGAGGAGCAGTCCTATTAGGCCACAGAGGAGGTCTTTGCAGCCAGGCCTGAAGATACCTGATAAAACAGTATCAGATGAAAGAGGAGGAGGTCCTCTCTAATCAGTGGACTTGGAAAGGGGCAGGGAGAAGATGAGGGAGGGAGGATGGGATTGGGAGGGAATGAGGGAGTGGGATACAGCTGGGATACAGACTTAATAAAATGTAACTAATAATAAAAATAAAATAAAAAATATCCTATCATGAAAAAATCAAATTCTCTTTGAAAACATGAGGACATAGAACGCTGCACTCTAGCAGCCAAGCATGTTGGTATCTGGCTGCTATCCCCAGTCCTCAAAAGACTGAAAAAGGAAGATGAGAAGTTCATGCAGAGCTGGAGCGATTTAAAACGTCCTTGCTTCAAACCAGAAGCAGTTGATTGAAGAAAGGGAAAAGGAAGGGAGCCTACCACAGATATCTTCTGAAAAACTTCACCAAGCAGGAAATTGAAGCAGATGCAGAGACCCACAGCCAAACTTTGATCAGAGCTCAGCGAGTCTTATGGGAGAAGGTAGATAGAAGGACTCAGAGGGGACAGGAGCTCCACAAGGAGACCGACAAAGCCAACAAATCTGGACCCAGGGAGCTCAACTGAGACTGATGCATCAACCAAGGACCATTCATGGAGAGGATCTAGATTCCCTTCTCAGATGTAGCTCATAGGGAGCTCAGTCTCCAAGTGAGTCCCCTAATAGGGAAGCAGTAGCAGTCTCTGACATGAACTCAGTTCCCTACTCTTTGATCACTTCTCCCTGGCTGGGTGACTTTAGCAGGCCAGGGAGGAAGAGGATCCAGGCAGTCCTGATAAGACTTGATTGGCTAGGGTCAGATAATAGGGGAAGAGGACTACCTCCTTTTAATACACTAGGGGAAGGGAGGGGAAAGAAGGAGGGAGGTGGACCGGGAGGAGATGAGGGAGGGGCTACAATCATGATACAAAGTGAGTAAATTGTAAAAAAACTAATAAAATAATAAAATAATAATAATAATAATAATAGGAAAATATCTAAATCCTTCCTCAAAAACATTTAGACAAAATTAACATTTTCACACTTAACAAAATATAGGCAGATTGACATTATTTACTAAAAAACAAAGGCTTCATATATGTTACATCCAATAACTTGTTTTTCATTAACAATAAGATCTAATGGTCTCTAACACATGAAAATCTAACATATTGGTTTTTAAATCATGTTTTCACCTCTATATTATGGTAATCAGGTAGTTTGATATAACAGTTTGATATATATCCCCAAACTTTCCTATGTTGTATGCTTGATATGATATACTGAACTTAGCATGGAACCCTTAAGCGGAAACTAATAAGAGGTCATTAGGTCAATCATGGGTACTTCCCTTCAAGGGAAATAACCTAACTCTTGTGGTCCTTCCACTAATTCTCATAAGCGGGTTGCTATACAAGACCAAGTCCAGTAAGATCCAGAATATTATCTGACAATGTAAATGTTTATAAGCTCCCTTTGCTTCCCCCATTGTTAGCCATCATGAGGTTATGAGGACAAGGAGATGCCTACAAAAGTCTCTGCCATGCTGTGTGGATTTTTAACTTCGCAAACTGGGAGCTTTATCGTTCCTTTCGAAAGTTAGCTTACCTTGGATATTTTGTTACAGTAACTGAAAACTGAATAATGGAATGGTTAATTGTTAGATATAGTACATTCTGAGTGCATATGCGACATTGACTGTCTTTGCACACAGAATGATTGCAGCAGTTAGCCTTGCATCGTAACACAATTCTGAAATGAAGTTATGAATGCACGGGTGAACTTTAGATGAAAAGTATTTATAAAATTTCTACATATTTTGAAATTTATTATATAACTATTTATGAAAGTAATTCTGAACACTGAAATTAAATTCAAATGATACAAACCAAGATGAACTAAGCTAGAAACAACATACCATGTTTTCTGAATTGTAATGACAACATACCTTTAAAAATTGACAAAAATGTCTAAAGAGCCATTTTTTTTAAAATAGGTAGAATAGTAGGTTCAGAGAAATAAATCTACTTCTAAAAATTCAAGAGTATATATCTAAAATGATTGAGCCTATGGTATGTCAATATTCTTTTCAGTGTTATAATTAGGGACAAAACAGCAATGATACTTGAAACAAAATGTGTAAAACTTTCTGATGATGATTGCATCATATACATCATCTTATGTTTAAGAATTGAGATGTAAAAATATCCACAGTAAGGACATCCTTTACTAAAAGAGGATGTTACCTTTGATTTCATGTTGGCTTGCTTCTCGTCTTCTCTCTAGTTCTTTTCTATCATAATTCAATCTTTTCAAGCACATAATTCCATACTGTAAACTTGTCCTAATTTCATAAAAGAGAAGAAACATTAAATTGCATTAGCAGATGAAGAATGGTCTGTTAATAATTCTGGTAAATTCTATATTACTTCTATATAAGCATATTTATTAATTACATTCATAATTACATCCTATAGTTGTTATCCTAAGAATAAAATTATCCTAAGAATAAACTGTTTCAAAAAATATTTGAAGAATTTGATATTCATAATTTTGAAAATCATTATGCATTGTTAATTATACATATGTATACATATGCAAAATTATATATAGTTATGCAGACAGTTGTGCATCTGTCTTAAACTTGGCTTTTTTTGCAGTAAATTTTAGCAAATTAACATTTTACTTCTTCACAAAGAACTTAATGTCTCTCTTTAGAGACAGAAATAAATTTGTAGGAATTCAATGATTCTTTGGTTGATAAAAATATATAAAATTAAGTAGTAAGGCAGAGCACCAAATAAGAACAAATAGCCAACAAGATAAGAGACAAACAAGTGTGTAAAAAAGAACAAGTCTGAATTTACTGAGACTGCAAAAGGCTTCTGTGAAAAAGAAAACTTCACAGCACTAACATGGCTAGGATACAAGAAAGGTTGGGCTATTAGGGGGATAGGAACATTATTTATAGTACTTAAGTACTATGGATGAACTTTTAGAGGTGTGGTGATATTGAGGCACACTATGTAGAGTTGAAATTCAGCCTAGGAATTAAGAAGTAAATACAGTTGTATATCAGAAATCCGGATATGCCAAAGCAGGGCTTGCGTTTCATGGATGAGATGTATTCTTGGGGAATTTTCACAGGAGGAAGGGATATTAATAAAAACACATGTTATTTTTTCATTGTTTGGGGAGTAATGTTCTTATAAAAAATAGGACATAGGAAAATGATGATCCTAGAAAAGAGAAAAATAAAAAGGTCTCATAACATAAGTTATGAAAAAGAAAAACCCTCACAGATGTCCAAAGAAAAGAAATAATAAAATTCTATTTAGTAATGATAGATTGATTAATATTAGAAATAAAGAAACAGGAAGAGTATGATAGAAAAAAAGGGCTTCCAAGATCAAAAGTGATGATCATTGACTACTGTTCATTGCCCAAATGTTTAGCAGTAGATATATTTTCAGACATGAAACCAAACAGTCTTTACATAAATACTGGATGCATTTCTACAATATATGTTTTAATAGCAACAAATGTGACATAAACATCTGAAACCTTAGAAAAAAGAACATAGACATATGTCTCTCTAAATGCATACATTGAAGCCTTGACTCCCATAGCCCAAAATGTTACTATATCTGGGGATGAGACCTTTAGTAGGCAAACAACATAAACAATATCATCAAGTATGCCCTAAGCTATTCTTTTTCTTTTTCATTTTTTTCATCATCATTAAATACAATTTATTCACTTTGTATCCCTGCTCTAGCCCCCTTCCTCATCTCCTGCTGCCCTCACCTACCACAAGGGTGGACTTCCCATCCTAGTCCACTGATAGGGGAGGTCCTCCTCCCCTGCTACTTGACCCTAGCCTATCAGGTCTCATCAGGACAGTCTGGATCCTCTTTCTCTGTGGCCTAGTAAGTCCACTTCGCCAGGAGGAGTCATCAAAGAGCAGGCAACCTAGCTCATGCCAGTGACTTCCCCGGCTCCTCTTACGAGGGAACCCCCATAGAGACTTCTTATAAGAAGAAATAATTTGGAAGATCACAGAGAGTAAGAGGGTGGACTTGTAGAAGGATCATACACAGAGACACACAAAGAGAATGGGAGGCCTCCAAAGAAAAACAGACCTATCCATACCTCAGTCTTACCCTTTATTACCACCTAAAGTAGAGGCCACAAGGCTACAACCTAGGATATACAAAGCAGTATAACTATAAGCCTTCTGAAACCTGATAGACGATAAATTAAAAAAGAGGTTTGTTCCTTCTTTCCATATATTCACAGCTTTTAAACAAAACATTCGGTAGAAGTTTCTCAGAACTAATATGCTAATAATAAAAAATGTTAGCAGTTATGTAAAAGCCCAAAGCACAAAGAATATGTGCTTCGTAGAAGAAGTACTTCATAGAAGAATTTCTTCTCAGTTAATTTTTTCTAGTATGTCTTTAAGTTACATTGTTTACGGTCACATAGCTTTGTATTCTGAAATTATGAATATTCAGTTATTCTTCATAAAACCTCTCTTTTGTTCATAGATTTTTTTTCATTTTATTTTGTGTGTGAATGTTTTTCTTGCATGCATATGTGTGCATCATATACATGCTTGATACCCAGGGATGTCAGAAAAGGGCATCAGACCACCTGAGCTGGACTGACTGATGGTTGTAAGCCACCATAGGGGCTGGGAATTGAATCCGGGTCTTCTGCAAGAGCAACAAGTGTTTTTAATCACAAAGCCATCTCTCTACCCCATAAATAATTTTCTTATGTAAAATAAAAAAAAATCTCTTAGTGTATCAAAGCAGATACTAAGACTCATCACCAAACCTTCAGCAGAGTGCAAGGAATCATATGAAAGAAGGGAGAGTTAATATGACCTAGAGAGGCCAGGAGCTCCACAAGGACCAAATGTATCTGGGAACAGGGGTCTTTCATGAGACTGTTTCTCCAGCCAAGGACCATGTATGGATATAACCTAGAACATCTGCTTGGATGTAGCCCATGGTACCTCAGTATCCTGTGGGTACACTAGTAAGGGGAACAGGGACTATTTCTGACAGGAACTCAATGGCAGGTTCTTTGACTCCCTCTTGTCCCCCAAGGGAGGAGCAGCACTGCTAGGCCACAGAGGAGGACTTTGCAACCAGGCCTGAAGATACCTGATAAATAAGGGTCAGATGAAGGGGAGGAGGTCCTCCCCAATCAGTGGACCTTGAAAGGAGCAGGGAGGAGATGAGTTAGGGAGGGTGGCTTTGGCAGGGAATGAGGGAGGGGGATACAGCTGGGACACAAGGTTAATAAACTGTAACTAATATTTAAAAAATTTAAAAATTTAAAAAATTAAAAAAAAATCCAATCAAGAAAAAACAAAATTATGCACTATGAGAATAACTCTTACATGGACCTTTGCATAAATTTCAGGCATATAAGAAAAACATAGCTCTCATTAGAAAAACCCTCACTGTGCTGCCCGAACACTTGTTCTAAGTAGACGACACATGCCTTTTGAACACTAAATATTTAATTTCTACTGCCCTTTTTTTCAATGTTTGTTAGCTGCATATTGTTTATGGTTTCACTTTTGTCATTCTTTGCTGAAAACCTACCGATGGAAGCTATCCACCATTTTTAAATGGACACGAAGATCCTTTTTTGTGAGGTGATCTAACATCCTTGCATCAACCAAGCATTCCATGAAGTAACTTCTGTACTGAGGTAACCCCAGGCTGGGGAGCCATTCATTTCCAATCCACTCATGGTTCATATCTCCATAAGCCAGCGTCTGTAGGAAGACCGGACACTGGAATTGTTTTATAGCAGTCAAGTTTTTTAACCAATAGGATGAAATGGTAAATGGAGAGTATTAACAATTATTGTAACTGGAATTTCATTAATATGATACATGTGTCAACAAAGAAGAGATAATATTTAACCTACATGTATTTTATTTAATTTAGCACAAAATAAAGTCTGCATAATTTGTTAGAACATACAAAAATATTAACTTCATTTGTATTTCAAGAAAATAAATTTTGTGCAAATATGTGTTTTATTAATGAAAAGCATATAGCTAGATATACAGTATTCCATCTCTATACTGGTAGAATTTTTGTTTTTAAAGTACTATGCAATTTCCTTCTTATCAATGGTCCTATTGTCATTGCCCCTGTATTATAGCAAAGCCTGATGTGATACAGAAATCTCAATAAACAAATAGAGAAAAAATAGTGAGGGTGAAAGACAGCATGCTGAGAGTTAAGCCAGCATTATGTTTCCAAGAGGAGCATATATCTGGCATTTCATTATTTCCCCTGAAGAATCCTTAACCAGAAATCAGTCAATTTAGATTATGTCTGTAAAGAAGACATGATGAAAACTGAGACAGATAAGCCAATTCTTATATTTTTTGTGTGTGATGTAAGCATTGATCTTGCCGCATAATATTCAAAACAGGTAAAAGAATTGTCATATCCAATATCATTACAAACCCAATTTTTATAAAAGGATCATTCATTTTTGAGACTGTCAATTTAAAGGATGTATATTATTAATTATTTAAAGGATATTAATTTTAGAGTTATCTACTTAGTTCCTATTTGTGCTATGAATTCACAGTTCTAATTATAATATGTAAATATAGGAAAATATGAATGTTCATTTTTTTTAAATTATGAAATTTGTTTCAGTTTCAAAATTAATTATAATCCTTTGCTAGAGAATGCTTAAATAAAGATTCTTATAAAGGTACCAAATTTTATTTACTTTCTCAAATTTATTCTTCCGGTTACTCGCCGTGAAGAAATACTGAATAAGATTTGCACTATTTTTGGTGCACACAACTTATTTAATATACATTTCTGTGTCTTGTAATCAGTTTAATAATTGGGACTGAACCTGTCTCACACTTGCTCTGCTAACACCTTTTGTTTTCCCACCAACCCCCAAACATGACACATGATACCATAAAGCAAATGGAACACCAAAAAAGTCTTTGTACATTTCCCCAGTGATCCAACGTGAATGAATACATATCTTGGTTACATATACTACAGAGGAATTTCAGATAAATTTAAGTTGTAGGTCCATCCTTGAGGAAGAAAGAAAATTATCCTCTTATATATACCAATTATGAAATGATAATCATCATAGTTATAAAATACGGTATGTAAAGATGCACGTATAATATTAGGTAAAATACTAATTTAAGTATATATGGCATTCTCATTACTAAGGTAAGTGATGACTTCAAATATCACGATCTACAATTGTTTCCTCATTTGTATCTGAATAGTTTACTACATCTTAAAGCATATGAGTTTCCTACCTGGGCCCAGCTTCCTTCCTCAGATTCTTTCTGGGTTAGCAGCAGGAAGTGATTAATAAAGCAGGCAAACATAAATTAATTTCAAATGAATACTGGAATAAATTCTACGAGAAGCATGACTTTAATTTAGTATGTTAATTATCATGACATAAGCAGACATGCATAGTATTATCCCCATTCACTCTCCCAGATACAAAAAACACAACACAATTTAATTAACTCTAATTTAAATATACGTAAAACACACGGGAGTTTATGAGTTTTGTAAAAAACTTATATTTGTCATTTTCAAATGTATATAAAAATTTAAATTTATTACAAACTTATGGTTATGTATTATAGAATACATAAAGTTTACATAATAGAAATTAATGAAGTGAAGAAAACCATATCTTTTTGTCACAGTTTATGGGTAAACAAACCCAAAAACAACCAAAAAAGAAGAAAGTATGTAAAAAAAAAAATTCAACTTAGGATGTGCCTTTACATTGTTGCCTTTTGCAGCATTGCGTTCTAGATAATCAAAAATTTAAGTGGGAACTAAAGTGAAAGTCCTTAAAATGAAGTTGCTAGATGTAAAATACATAGTGTTCCCAACTTTTTTCCTTCTCATGAAAAATTACTCTATAAAACATCACATTTTCACACCTGGTGACTGGAGTCCTCAAAGTTATTTAAAACTGATTTTAAAACCAAATGAACGAAACGCTTCGATATGTTTTTCTTAGAGGTCTATATGTGGGTGGCAGAGCCCAAGAAAGTATATACCCACACTGAAACTGAAGATTCAATGTAATCTTTTCTACAAGATTAAGAATGATTTAGTAACATATATTCCTTTGACTATGCCCAGTCCTAGGAGGCACTGACTACCAAAATTTCCAATGTTCTAAATTTTACTAAATTATTTCTTATTGTTTGAATCTTACAACACGTAGACTCTTAGGATGAAAAGCAATAGCAGTCTAACACTGATTCATTTTAAATTGTCAAACAAGCAAGCTAGAGTAAAGGTTTTCCCAAAGCGTCAGTTATCTTTTTGTGCAACTACATAACCACACCCCATCTCTACGGTTTATGCTAAATACATTCCTCATCTATTACTCCCCCTCTATCTATGACAGCACAATCATTTTGTTCAGGTTTAACATAACTATAAAACTAACCGTTTTTGCTGGAGCTGCAAGATTTTCCATTTCTTCATGGGTCACCCATACATTTCCTGAAGGCTAGTGAGGAGCCCACAGGAAACAGCGTCATCCATGGAAGGGAACCGGGGTAGAGAGAAAGGAGGCACCTCTGTCAGTCAGTACCATCGCACACTTCACATTGATCCTGATCTGCGCATGTGTCATGAGCCTACAGCTGGGAGCCTGTTTCTTCTATTCAAGGGAATAACTGAACAGAGACAGGCAGTGATACTCATTTTTGTAATAATTCTTTGGCTCTTAAAAAAAGTTCCATGGCAAAACTTCACATTCTATGGGCTGGAGAGATGGCTCAGAGGTTAAGAGCACTGGCTGCTCTTCCAGAGGACTTAGGTTCGGTTTCCAGCACCCACATGACAGCTCACAACTATCTGTAACTTCTGTTCCAGGGGATCCGACACCCTCACAAAGACATGCATGTAGTCAAATGCCAATGTACATAAAAACTAAACCTGTAAACCTTCACATTCTTAAATAATATGACCATCAGATCAAGTTTTTAAAAAATGACAAACTGGCTTCTAACATGATAACCCAATATACTAGCTGTTTATCAAGAGAATTTCATTTGCACATTTTTTTATTCATCAACATCCTTCAAAACAGTAATGAATGTCACAGAGAAACTGAAAGCCTTGTAGACTATTTGGAAAACAGCATAAGCTTTACCTGGTGGTTTTTAATTCAATAAATTGTCCTCTCTCATATTCTTGGAGAGGAAAAAGAACTGAAACATTATTTCGAGATTATATTGATATAGCATAAGGTATTTCTCAGCCTCATCAATACTCTCAAATTCCAAAAACACTCATTTCCTTATTCTTTAGCTGTGTCTTGTTAACCGTTTGTTGTGGTTTGAAGATGAAATACATTCTGTGGGTTCAAGCGCTTGAAAACTTTGTTTCCAAAGGTGGACCAAGTGTAGGAAAGGCTGCAAAACCTTGGGAAGGAGAGCCTCCTCGGACAACTGAGTCACTGTGGCCAGGCCTTGTGGCCTGCTGCTGCTTCCTGCCTCCATGGTTCCCTGCCGCTGCCATGCCTTCCCACCACGCTCTACTGTGTCTCTCTGTAAGACAACGTAAATTCTTTCTCCTTTTACTTGTTTTTGTCAGTAGCAGAAGGGTAACACACCATTATGATATGTTTGTCTTGTGTATGCAAAGGACTTTGCCCCAGAGTCACACCCATACTATGGCAGAAAAATCACAGAATTAATTAATTTTTTTTTCTACAATGGACTATTCCTTTGGGAATTCTCTCCTTTCTTTGCTTTTGTTTTTTATTTTATTTTACAATTTATTCATTATATATCCTGATTGAAGTCCCCTCCCTAAACTAAAGATTTTTAGAGATGCCACACACATAGATCAATAAATGAGCGGTATGTTGAGGAGGTCTTGTGACCCTGGGAGTGAGAAGAATGTTCTAGGAGCAGCAGCAGCAGCAGCAAAAACCCCTTTAAGGCCGAGTAAAGATAGCATCTTAGTATCATAATAATTCTCCATTTTTATGTCTGTTTTTTAAACAAAATAATGTAGTTTTATCTTTAATCTGTAATTTATCTTGCTTCAGGGTAAACATCTTTTTGTGTGTGCAGGTAAATGTGCTTTAATAAAATATTTTCTACTATAAAAGGTATTTGCTTTTGCAACTGAAACAAGTAAGATTGCTTACCCTACTTTTCAAACCTGAAATTTGGACTTGAGTGTATAATATGTTTCTTACTGTGTTTAGTTTTTGGAGAAGACAACTCTATGAACTAGTCACAATGCTTTTTATCTCAGTTGTAAATACTCAGGAAAGTTCTCTGATCTGAATTTGGCTTAGAGTAATAACTATTTTAATAACTTCAGATATTAGCGTAAGTATATTCTAAGTTACCTTTTTATCTGGAATACATTGGCAGAGTACATTTTTATGTATTTTAAATAACATTGTAAGTAGAAATTACATATATATATATATATATATATATATATATATATATATATGTTAAAAAGTACAGAGCAATTAACTGAAAGGTAATTAAACAAGCAATATACAACTCCTTGAAACCTTACCATAAGTCCCTGTCTTTAGAATCTGGGAGAAAGTGGTGTAAGTATGATAAACTCAAATCAAATTCTTTATGATTACTTAAGGCCATCTTAAGAATGCATTGAAGTCATTGCTTCAATAAGTTTTGCTTCATTGAATACATTGCTTGAAAGCTGCAATAAAGCAATACCAATTTTCTCCACTATTTTTTATTGTATGCTCTCACATTTTGTTGTGTTGTGGGGTGGAGAAATCTAGATAACACTAGAGATATATTTATCAGGAAAAAAGTTACTCCATAGTGGAGTAAAAGATCACTTGAGACTATTTCGTGATGATTGTATTTGCCATTATGAATGCCTGTTTTGTTTTGTTTTTTTAGTGTATTTGTTTTTAATGCTATGTTATGGATACAAATATAACTGGGATTAAAATTGGGAGGCATGTTTTGAAGTAGAGGATTTCAATTTGTATTTTTGGAACTTACAATTTTTGAGCATGAAATTTTTCTATAAGTAATAAATTAAAGAGTGCATCTTTAGAAACCTCTGATGCTTCAGGATAACCCCAAGAAGATGCCGGGTTTCCATGAAAAGAAAAGGAGATTCTGAGAAATAGCAAGATTTGAGATCTTTTAACTTGGAAGGGAAATCTACTGTCATCTAAATGCTAGCGCCAAAGTCATCTTGGTTGCAGCTTTCAAGTCTGATAGGAACCAGAGCGCCTCCATTGAAGAGCAATTACAGGTAGCAGCAAGGTTAATGAAGAGCAAGCCGCACCTCTTTAAATAACTCATGCTGACATTGAAATGTGAGCTGTCACATTTTGCTCTGTGAGCTTAGGGTGCTTTGCGGTCAGCATAAGGGGAAGGGGGGAGGGCGCACATTGACTCACAGTGCGCGACGTAGGAGGAGCCGAGGGGCTTGTGAGGGAAACCATCTCCTGGATCGCTAGTCTGAGCTTTAAGCGGTGCAGAGGGTTGCTGATGCCAATCTCTCTTTGGATTTCCGTGTCCGATAAAGCCGACATGATGGCACCACTTTTCACATTGGCTCTGCATGCTGCCACGTACCAAGCAGGCATTCCCAGCCAGAGCTGTTGTGTTGGAAAAAAAAAATACAAAGGTTAGAATAATGTGTTTATTGCAACTTAATTTTAGATTTTAGAATCACCTCTGAAACACACCTCTGAGAATGCCTGTGAAGAACTTTTAGAATATAACTGGACAAGCCATAACTGAGGAAAAACGACAATGCTGAATGTGGATAGAACAACCCTCTGATGGCAGTTTCAGAATGCAAACAAACCAGGAAGCAAGGTGAACGTCAGCGTTATCTTTTTCTGCTCCTTATTGACGCTGCATTGGACCACTGATTCACAGTCCTGCCGTCATACTTAAGTCAGTTTTGTCATCCCTGCCTTCCATTCTATAACAGACATGTACCATCAAAATGTTATCCAAAATAAATCCTTCCTTCCTTTAGCTGCTTTTGTTATGTATTTTTCACACCAGCAGGAAACTAACACATCAATTTAGTGTCTTTTACATCCTCCAGATGTTCATCCATCCAAATTTATTTGTTGTCTACAACTCCATGTGATGAATGCTATAATATTTTGACTAGGGAGATAAACATACAAAGACATTGAGAATATGATCCAAACAACAATTAGGTAGTAATGGATTTGAAATTAAGACATTCTGGTTTTAGAGCTAAACTGGACAGGCACCAAATTTCTCTTTATGTATAATGACAAGAACAGCTATCTATAAGATCCATTGGGTAAGTGGCTTGAACAGCCTTTAATGAATATTATAGGAATATTCCTATAAAAGAATAATATAATTATTCTTTTGAATTCTGAGAGCAGAGACAGTTTCTCTGCTATGGATTGAGATAGGTCTACTATTGCTAGCCTTGTGATTTTAAAGAAAACATGAACTTTAGCTAAACAAATTTCTCCACTCAAGTACTTACATCTGACCCATAAAACTAGTGAGATAATATATTCATGTTTAGGAATAATTTGTTTCACAGGAATGGATCACTGTTCTTTCTATCCAACAACTCATGATATGTTCATAATGGTTAGAGACAAGAAAAAAAATTCCAAGTCTGAATCAATGTGGCTTGGGATGTGGCTGAAACCAAACACAGGACAGAAAGATGTAATATAGCGATTGTACAGTCCAAGCTGTGTTTCAGAAGAGGAGGCACATTGGGATTAGCCTTATATTGACAAAGACACTGGGGATGACAGATGATGGACCATTCATCTTGGTACATACTTAAACTCTTTAAGATAATTCAGCATCTATATACATTCAAGGGTCCGCAGAGATTTTCTATCTGTCTTATAAGATATTTGAATTTCCACTCTTACACAAATGTTACATTTGTGTAACATTACACAAATGTTACCTATTCATTGTTACAAGTGGTACCTGTGATTAGGCATTCAGGAGTTTTGATGTGGACAAATTTTTGTGAGAAACGGTAGACTCTTTCCCATGCCACATCCTTTACAGACTGTGCACACAAGGAGGAGGGAAAGAAGCTAAATGTTATGGGCTCCTATTCATGGGCTCAGCATGCTTGTTCATCTTATTTGTTCCATTTTGTGATTTGTGTCACATTAGGAAATGCATTAGAAGCAATTTCTGCTCCCAGGATAGGTTTAATTAGCTCTGACTTCATTGGCTGTCATTTATCAGCACTTCAGTGTCAGGAGATCTGCTTTTTTTTTTTTTTTTTTATATCTGAAGGATTTGTTCATCCCTTACCAAAATAGCAACTAACTCTCTGTCAAAACATAGATGATTGTATTGGAATGGCATCCAAACAAGAAATCCCTGTCATTGTTTAGGTGTTATCTCTTGAACTCTTTCTGTAGTACCTGAGGCCTTTTTCATTTCTTTTTTAACACTTGTAACTTTAAAGATAGGTTTGGAAGAGGTAACTTCAGTAATTAAATGCTTTGAACTAATATAACAAAAGCGAAACACGGTTTTATTTCAGTCAGTCCATAAAGAAGCATATTTTTTGACTACCTATGTAAGTGAATAGTTTTAAAGCAAAATAAGCTTTACATTTTCCTCACTGGCTATTTACCTAGCTCTGAATAAACTGGAATGATGAAGTGGTAACTCAATGCTCACAAGTCTATAAAGATACATGTGGTTCTGGTATGGGAAGTTGTAGGACACAGGGAAGCCATGATTTCAGAAATCATCCTTTACCTGTCTCTGAACAAACAAATCAGCAATGACTTACCTCCAGCCACGCAACCACGGTGGGTCCATCCCACTGGGCAAATGGTAATCCTTTTCTACGTGCTTCTTCAAGAAGTTCATGCCTGAAGTACAGCAAAGATCACCAGTTAAGTAAAATGGGAGAATATGCCTGTGGTTGTTTATAAACCACCAGCAAGACCTTGCAAGTATTTAACGAGGGGTTATTAAAGGTAGAATTCCTTATTCCTTTGAGTCATATGTGGAAATTCCCTTTTGATTTCACTGAGTGAAATGTTAACATTTAAAAATAATTTTCTCCAACATTGATTCACAAAGATTTGAACGCTGTTAATCAACTAAGCTAAACTGTGTTGTCAGCCAATATCTTTTAGATTGCAGAATGTATAATTACTCTTCTCTCTACTCTTCTCTCTGCCCTTCTCCCAACCCTTACTTTCTTAGTAGCAGAGACAAAGCCTGTATGTTGAGACAAACTACATCTGGTGGTTCTAGCTGCATTCTCGTGATGTTTACTTTAAGCATGATGTCTGAGCCAACATTCAATTTTAGAAGGTGGTGCCTTCTAAAACTAATGAATGAAACTAATGGATTTAATTCTTAAACTATATAAACACCTATGCCTCAAGATTTTGTTGATAAATATTTTAAATACAACATATATTGCTTAAAAATGAATGTATAGTAAGATAAAGTGAATAGAAGTAAAGTTTACATGAAGCCAAGAAGAAAAGCTAGGAGCTCTGGGGCTTGGGGAACACAGGAGACATTGCATGCTCTTAAAGCAAAAACAAAACACTGTAAAGCCAACCCTGCCATTTATGATCTACGGTTTCTACTGTAAATGACTGAACTATGCTGAAATCCTGTAAGCTCCCAAGCTCCAACACATGTTCCTGCCGCTATTCTGACACTCTGATCTTTTGATTTCTCAAGAACAGCTTAAAACACATGCCGCATTTGAAACGACACCAATATAAGTTGCTTTCCTTCTCTAGGAAGCAATGTGAAATATATAATTCAACAGAGATTTTAATCACTACTATTTATTAATGAAAGGCAAGAACATTAGTGAAAGTAAGTGCTTCTTTCTGATAACTTTAATCTTTATACACTATGTCTGACTTCATTGATCCCTAAGAATTTAGGATTGACACTGGTGTTCAAAATCAGCTTAAGATGATTTATTACTGAAGTAATAGAATATATTTGTATGCAATCTCAAACTATTATGTATCCATCTGGAGATATAGTGAGAAATATATTCTCTGTACTTCTATACGCATACATTCATATAAAATTGATAAAAACATAGTTTAATAATTATTTATTTTTATGTATTTTTTCATGTTAACAAATATATTATGGATAATGTATATGAGCTCACAAAGTATGTGGTGATTTCCCATTACAAAGAGTTACTTAGTATTGAAGAATCACATATTAAAACACTTGAGAGGATGCCTTTGGACACAAGAAATTTTGTGTTTTTCAATAGCTGCTATAAAATACATGGAAACCTACTAAAAGGCAAAGAAAGAACTGAAATTATAGCAACCTAAAAGACACATAAGTTAACTGCTGTTTGAGCTGAGGAGACAGCAAGGGCAGCTTCTGCATATAAGCTATTCAAGTGCTGGATATGTGTACAGAGACACGGATGCTCTGAATACAGTAGAAAGCACAAGCATTCTCAAATGTAGCTTTCTATTCCATCATCCAATTCCCTTGGGCTTCCCGGTGACAGCGCACTGAGAGTCTGTTTTCAGTAAGTTAGTCGTACTCTGACAGATGTATTTATAGAAGTGGCATGAGGTATCAACTGTCCAACTATTCTGTCTGCGCACATGCTACAAGCTGAGACTGGTGCTCAGTGAGGTAAGTAGAAATATTTATCTGGATTCCAAAAAATTCCTTGTCAGACGCAGCAAATGCACAAGGGCATCCAGATGTATACAACACACAGATAGCAGCTTAAACTTGTGGATGCCCGTCCTCACGCTCAACAGGTTTGTTTATTAATCACCGTTTTGCTTGATAACAACGGAGAGAATGGTGCTGGTTTTGCAACAGCTGAGCTGGCTTTGAATAACAAGTAGGAAAAGTATAGCATGCTAAGAGGATACAGAGTGACAGACTTAGCATGGAGTGTGTGTGAGTAAGTTTAGAGTAGTCCTCGAAAGAACTAAATTGTTATACTTGTCACATCCTACCCAGTAATGAGAGGATTATAGCCAAGTGTAATCTGGATGACACTACATGGAAAGAAGTACACATAATTTTATTAGCAATGTTTTTATTCATCCAGTAAATGAGGAAGAGATGATGACAACATTCTGTTATTTTAGGAAGCGAACAGTATGAGTTATAGAAAAGTATTTTTAAATATTAGAATGCTTCTTTTATTGAATAAATTACAATAAATAATAATAATTAATGGAAAAAAATGCCTCACTCCTGACTGGTTCACTAATAAACATTGCAATGTGAAGTAGAGGATCCTATTAAAACTTAAGTTTGATCGTTTCACGTTTTTCCTATCACTGCTTGTACAGCTGTGTAATTCTAACTCTGACCTCGTTCTTCCTACATTCCCATGCCTCACCTTGCAATACTGCTCTGGTTATGTCCTTTCCGTCACCTCCCTGCCTCTTCCACCTATGAAGAATATTTCTAAGCCCACTGCTTTCCATCGTTCTCCTTCACAGCACTGAAGTCTATGATCCGCCTGAAGAGTATAAGGTCAAGACGACCAGTAATTCCACACACTCTGCTGTTTAGGACACATTTCATATTTAAAGGCCTCAGTAGAGAACATGCTCTTAAAACAGTTGTGAACGTTGTATGTGCAAATGATGCCAATCAATGTGCCGAGAAGTTCTATTCTCTTTATGATGAGAATAATGACATGATTACATGGAAACTTTTAGAAAAATCTGGTCCCTAACTTAAACCTGGAACCTGACTTAAATCACATATTTCATTACATAATGTCTTCAGGAGAATAATAATAACAATTCAAAGAATGAGACAAAGGAGCCATTTTCTGCACCTGACATCCAATTACTAGGGATGAGTCCCAAGCAATGACTATGTTGTCATGAATTTGAGACTATAGAAGTGACTGACTGGGTTTTTTTTTTCCTGGACTTATGCAATGTGAGAGTAAAGAATAAGACTTCCTTCTCCTTAACACAATGGGGTATCAGTTACATGCAAATATCTGGACACAGTAATGTGTGAGGAAATCAACGCTGGAAAGGTAACATGTTCAGTGTTCTAACAGAAATAAATAAATAGAAAATATGATCAGCTGTTGATAAATATTAAGGGGTTGACTGAATACATGGAAGATGATTGTTCTTGTGAAAAATTTCTTTTCAATTACATAAAAATAATGAACTGAGCTGTTTATAAAAGCAAGCAGACAAATCAGCTTCAAAGAAAAAAAAAGAGCAACTAACTTGAAACTTAGCATGTTTGCGGATGCCTGATTTAAAAACACACTTGAGAGTCAGAAACAGGAAGATTATGAATTTATGACCATCCCCTGTTACATAATGAGACTGTCTCAAGAAATCAGTCTCAGGTTGCAAGTCAGTGAGAGAGCATTTGCCTTGCTTGCACAAGGTCCTGGTTTGATTATCCAGGAAAAATAAAACAAACAAAATGCACTAAAGCAGATTGGAAGCAAAGAGCACTGAGGATGCCTGACCAATTCTCATATAAGAGGTGTATATTCCAGAATTCTTTCCCCCTATAACTGGAACTCAGCCTTTGAAATAGCAAACCCCAGTTCCAGAAAGAGTGCATGACCATTTCTTTTTTTTTTTTTCTTGAGAATTTTTTTTTCGTATTTTATTTTTTTCTTATCAGTTACATTTTATTAACTATGTACCCCAGCCGTGTCCCTGATCCCTCATTCCCTCCCAGTCCCTCCCTCCCTCCCTCCTCTCCACCGTGCCCTTTGCCAAGTCCACTGATGGGGGGACCTCCTCCCCATTCATCTGATCCTGTTTTATCAGGTATCCTCAGGACTGGCTGCAAAGCTCTCCTCTGTGGCCTAACAGGAACTACTTGCCTTTCTACTCAGAACTAAAAGTCATTTTTATTTTCCTTTTTCAAGCCAGAGAATTTAATGTTTAATCGTCTTTCCCCTAAGGATTCTTTGCATGTCATTGTAGTTGTAAGAATGATTTTTAAAAAATTCATTACAGTTTATTCACTTTGTATCCTGGCTGTATCTCCCTACCTCATCTTCTCCTAGCCGCCCCCCCCCCCCATTTATCTCCCCTAGTCCATTGATAGGGGAGGTCCTACTCCCCTACTATCTGATTCCACCCTATCAGGTCTCATCAGGACTGGCTGCATCATCTTCCTCTGTGGCCTGGCAAGGCTGCCCGTTCCCATTAGGGGGAGAAGGTCAAAGAGTCAGACACTGAGTCCATGTCAGAGACAGCCCATGCTCCTCTTTCTAGGGACTGCACATTGAGACTGAGCTGCCTATGGGTTACATCTGAGCAGGGGGTCTAGGTCCTCTCCATGCATCGTCCTTGGTTAAAGCATTGGTCTCTGCAGGGGCCCCTGGACCCAGAATTTTTTTGGCTCTCATGGTCTCCTCATGGAGCTCCTGCCCCTTCCAGGTCTTTCTGTCTTTCACTTCTTCCAAAAGGTTCCCTGCACTCTGCCCAAGATTTAGCTATGAGACTCAGCATCTCCTTCAATATCCTGCTGGGTAGATTCATTCAGAGGCTGTTTGCAGTAGTGAGCTTTCAGGGATCATTTCTATAGTTCATGAGCATGATTTTCAGTTCCCAGATTTAGAGTAGATGTCAAGGACATTGATTGAACTTTGTTCACAGGGAGCTAACAGGTACAGACTTGTCATTATCTGTGTGAAAAATCAAAAAAAAAAAAAAAAGGAAGGGACTAATTATAGAGGAAGCTAGTTTTAAATACATAAAACTCCTATCTGCAGTAAGGAACGTACTTACATCTTTCAAGGGCCTGGGCCTCTTGTCATCAGAGCCAGAGTACAGTAATGGGATGTGACGTGTTAATAAAGCCCAGACTGTGGAGAGCATCTGGGAATAGGGAATTTTCC